TACCTCCCTACCCCTGTCACCTCCTCCAACTCAGGGTCAGTTCCTCCGTAAGGCTCCTCATAGGACTGGTCACATCGTCTTTTGTGTGTCCCACCTCTGCTTGGATTCTGGCTTGGTACCCCCATCCACGTGTCCAGGTTTTGCTCCCCTATGGGACTATAAGCTCCCTGAAAAATAAGCTCTTGTTCTTAAAAATCTCTTGGCTGGGCCGCAGTGGCCAACACCTGTAATCCCAGCACTTCAGGGGGCTGAGGTGGGAGGATCACTTGAGGCCAGGAGTTCCAGACCAGCCTGGGCAATCTAGCGAGACCCCATCTCTACAAACATAAACAAATTAGCCAAGAGTGTGGTGCATGCCTGTAGTCCCAGCTACTCAGGAGGCTGAGGCAGGAGGATCGCTTGAGCCCAGGAGTTTGAGGCTGCAGTGAGCTGTGATTGTGCCACTGCACATCAGCCTGAGCAACAGAGCAAGACCCCCATCTCAAAAAAGTTTCTTGCTTGGTGTCTGACACCTTGACACAGTAGTATCCTAACAAATGTTTGCTGAATGATTGAACTCCTGTCTCAAAGAATCCTAGCACCATCCATCTCTGCATGAGCCAGAAAAGCTTCATTCTTGATCCCTCTTCATCCCCCACACCATTGCATCACCCATTCAACTTAACAGCCCAGCTCCCTCCCAAATCAGCTCCCTCTGCCCCTCTCGATGCTGTCCTAGGCCAACCCACCACTGCCTGCAGCCTAGGCTAGTGCCACAGTTGCTTCACGGGTGGCTATTTTCCCTCTGGCCTCTCAAAGCCATCTTCCTTGTTGTAGCCAGAATGATATTTTCTTTTCTTTTCTTTTTTGAGACGGAGTCTCAGTCTGTTGTCCAGGCTGGAGTGCAGTGGTACAATCTTGGCTCACTGCAACCTCTGCAGTGAGGTTCAAGCGATTTTCCTGCCTCAGCCTCCCAAGTAGTTAGGATTACAGGTGTTCACCACCACGCCTGGCTAATGTTTGTATTTTTAGTAGAGACAGGATTTCCCCATGTTGGCCAGGCTGGTCTTGAACTCCTGAACTCAAGTGAGCCACCACTCCTGGCCTATTGTAGTTTAATTAGTATACCTAAATATTGACTCATTTTAAACATACAGTTAAGTGAATTTTTTAAAAAAATTATTTATGTAGAGACAGGGTCTTGCTGTGTCACCCAGGCTGGCGTGCAGTGGTGCAATCATAGCTCACTGCAGCCTCAAACTCCTGACCTCAAACAGTCTTCCCATTTCAGCCTCCCTAAGCGCTGGAATTACAGGTGTGAGCCACCATGCCTGGTCTTCAGTGAGTTTTGGTAGATGTACAGGGTTGTGCAAAAGTTTCCTTTTCTTGCCCGTGACCCCAGGCAACCCCTAATCTGCTTTCTATCACCTTACTTTTGCCTTCTCTGGATGTTCATATAAATGAATAACACAGTATGCAGTGTTTTGTGTCTGGCTTCTTTCACTTAATACAATGTTTCTGAGTTTGTATCAGTAGTTCTGTTACAGGAAGGGGTCCCAATCCAGACCCCAAGTGAAGGTTCTTGGTTTTTGTTTTTTTTTTTTGAGATGGAGTCTCGCTCTGTCGCCCAGGCTGGAGTTCAGTGGCCGGATCTCAGCTCACTGCAAGCTCCGCCTCCTGGGTTCACGCCATTCTCCTGCCTCAGCCTCCCAAGTAGCTGGGAATACAGGCGCCCGCCACCTCGCCCGGCTAATTTTTTGTATTTTTTAGTAGAGACGGGGTTTCACCGTGTTAGCCAGCATGGTCTCGATCTCCTGACCTCGTGATCCGCCCATCTCGGCCTCCCAAAGTGCTGGGATTACAGGCTTGAGCCACCGCGCCCGGCCTTTTTTTTTTTGTTGAGACAGAGTCTCGCTTTGTCGCCAAGACTGGAGTGCAGTGGCTGGATCTCAGCTCACTGCAAGCTCCGCCTCCCGGGTTCACGCCATTCTCCTGCCTCAGCCTCCCAAGTAGCTGGGACTACAGACGCCCGCCACCTCGCCTGGCTAGGTTTTTGTATTTTTTAGTAGAGACGGGGTTTCACCGGGTTAGCCAGGATGGTCTCAATCTCCTGACCTCGTGATCCGCCCGTCTTGGCCTCCCAAAGTGCTGGAATTACAGGCTTGAGCCACTGCGCCCGGCCAGGTTCTTGGATCTTGCACAAGAAGGAATTTGGGGCTAGTCCGCAGTGTGAAGTAAAAGCAAGTTTATTAAGAAAGTAAACTGGGCCAGGCGCAGTGGCTAATGCCTGTAATCCTACCACTTTGGGAGGCCGAGGTGGGCTTATCACCTGAGGTCAGGAGTTCAAGACCAGCCTGGCCAACATGGCGAAACCCCATCTTTACTAAAAATACAAAAATTAGCTGGGCGAGGTGGTGGGGGCCTATAATGCCAGCTACTTGGGAGGCTGAGGCAGGAGACTCACTTGAACCCGGGAGGCAGAGGTTACAGTGAGCTGAGGTCATGCTATTGCACTGGGCTACAGAGTGAGACTCCATCTCAAAAAAAAAAAAAAAAAAAAAAAAAAAAGTAAACTGGTGAAAGTACAGCTACTCCATAGACAGAGTAGGACATTCCTGGAAGTAAGAGGAGGAAGGCGTCCACCTTATGTACAAGACTCATACGTATGGGGAGATGTGCTCTGCTACAAGGGTTTGTGATAAAAGGATTTTTTTTTTTTTTTTTTTTGTGATGGAGTCTCACTCTGTTGACCAGACTGGAGTGCAGTGGCGTGATCTCGGCTCACTGCAACCTCCGCCTCCTGGGTCCCGATTCAAGCAATTCTCCTGCCTCAGCCTCCCAAGTAGCTGGGATTACAGGAATACCATGCCCAACTAATTTTTGTATTTTTAGTAGAGACGGGAGTTTCACCATGTTGGCCAGGCTGGTCTTGAACTCCTGACCTCATGATCCGCCTGCCTTGACCTCCCAAAGTGCTGGGATTACAGGCATGAGCCACTGCGCCCGGCTAATTTTCTTAATTACTATATTTAGCAAGAATCAATATTGTTATCTTTAAAGCAAAATTAGGAATGCCTTTGTTCTCCATATATTGGGATATCTGGACACTCCCAAGTCTGGGTCTGTTTAGTAAACATTATTATATTAGGCCGGGCGCGGTGGCTCAAGCCTGTAATCCCAGCACTTTGGGAGGCCGAGACGGGCGGATCACAAGGTCAGGAGATCGAGACCATCCTGGCTAACATGGTGAAACCCCGTCTCTACTAAAAATACAAAAAACTAGCCGGGCGAGGTGGCGGGCGCCTGTAGTCCCAGCTACTTGGGAGGCTGAGGCAGGAGAATGGCGTAAACCCGGGAGGCGGAGCTTGCAGTGAGCTGAGATCCGGCCACTGCACTCCAGCCTGGGCGACAGAGCGAGACTCTGTCTCAAAAAAAAAAAAAAAAAAAAAAAAAAAAAAAAAAAACATTATTATATTATTATTATTTGAGATGCAGCTTTGCTCTTGTTGCCTGGGCTGGAGTGCAATGGTGCTCTCTCAGGTCACTGCAACCTCCGCCTCCCAGGTTCAAGTGATTCTTCTGCCTCAGCCTCCTGAGTAGTTGGGATTATAGGTGTGTGCCACCATGCTCGGCTAATTTTTTTTTTTTTTTTTTGAGTCTCACACGGTTGCCCAGGCTGGAGTGCAGTGGCATGATCTCGGCTCACTGCAGCCTCTGCCTCCTGGGTTCAAACAATTCTCTGCCTCAGCCTCCCAAGTAGCTGGGATTACAGGCACCCACCACCACGTCCGGCTAATTTTTTTTTTTTTTTTTGTATTTTTAGTAGAGATGGGGTTTCACCATCTTGACCAGGCTGGTCTTGAACTCCTGACCTCGTGATCCACCCGCCTCAGCCTCCCAAAGTGTTGGGATTACAGGCGTGAGCCACCGCCCCCGGCTTAGTAAACGTTATTAATTTGTTCCCTTAACCATAAACATCTCGAGTCTAGGAATGCCTTACTTTCTGGAATTCAGTCCAGCAAGTCCTAGCCTTATTTTCCTAGCTCTCACTCAAAATGGAGTCACTCTGGTTCGAATGTCTCTGACAGTTCATTCCTTTTCATTGCTAAGCTATTCCCATTGTATGAATAGATTATGCCCCATTGATGGACATGTGGATTCTTTTCATTTTGGGGCTATTATGAATAATGCATTTATGAATATTCATATACAGGTTTTTGTTTGGACACGTTTTCATTTCTCATTGATAGTTACCTAGGAGTGGAATTGCTGGGTCATATGGAAAATGTATATTTAATTTTAATTTTTTAAGTTTTTTGTAGAGATGAGTCTCGCTTTGTTGCCCAGGCTGATCTTGAACTCCTGGGCTGAAGTGATCCTCCCACCTCAGCTTCCCAAAGTGCTAGGATTACAGGCATGGGCCACTGTGCCTGGCCAAAAACACAATTTTTAAAATGGACAAAGAAGCCAGGTGCAGTGGTTCACACCTGTAGTCCTAGTATTTTGGGAGGATGAGGCAGGAGGATTGCTTGAGTTCAGGAGTTCCAGACTAGCCTGGACAACAGAGTGAGAACTCATCTCTACAAACATAAAAATTAAAATGACACTGGGCATGGTGGCTCACCCCTGTAATCCCAGCATGGTGGGAGGCCAAGGTGGGCAGACCACTTGAGGTCAGGAGTTCAAGACCAGCCTGGCCAACCTGGTGAAACCCCATCTCTACCAAAAATACAGAAAATTACCCGAGCGTGGTGGCGTGTGCCTGTTATCCCAGCTACTTGGGAGGCTGAGGCACAAGAATTGCTTGGACCCGGGAGGTGGAGGTTGCAGTGAGCCGAGATCCCGCCACTACACTCCAGCTCCAGCCTGGGTGACAGAGGAAGCCTCTGTCTCCAAAAAAAAAAAAAAAAAAAAAAAAAAAAAAAGGTTCTTTACATGGATGCAAGTCCTTTGGCAGATAGATGCTTTGTAAATATCTTCATTCAACCTGTGGCTTGCCCTTTCACTTCACAGGTGCAATTTACAACGTGTATCACTCTCTAGATACGCTCCACCAGGGAAGCGAGTAAGTCTGCCTTTCCCTGAAGCCTGGTAAAATGCCAGGCATGTAGATGTTCAATAATATTTTGTTGAGGGAATTAAATGGCTGCAACCTGAAGTTCCTGTCTGCCAGGGGAAACCCAAGCTTAAGGTTCTGAAACACGAGGCACCTAATATGGGGGGCAAAGCCGATTATGGGTATTCGGACTCGAAAGTTTCTAATAAGGCGTTTTGGGGTGGGGGGATGCTCTCCCCACGAGATTCCAGAATTTCAGTAGAGGGGCTTCAAGGGCTGGTTGAAAGCTGGGTCTTCAAGCTGTATTTGCACAGAACTATACTAATTTTATTTAGAGTGCCTGTTTATTAGATGTACCTTGGAGATTATAGGGTGCCACTAAAGAATCACTCCAAGTTATCCCTTTGACCCCAGTCCTGTAGCGGGAGTCTCCTTAGGCTCGGAGTCCCTTCCTGCCCTACAAAAGCCCACCGGAGGCTCCGCTGAAGGGCTGCAATCCCGACTGGAGTGAGGAAAAACATGCTCCAGGAGGGGCGGGTGGAGACGCTTCCTTTAATAGGTATTTAAGTGTCCACGGTGAAGGTTCAGGAGTTTACAAGGCTAGCAGGGTTGGAGAATCTCAACAAAGGGCGGGGCGCTGCTCAAGCTCCGTCCGTCCCTCCATCCCTCCATCCATCGCGCTGCTCAAGCTTCATCCATCCATCTATCCATCCATCCATCTTTTACTGAGCGTAAAAAGCCTCCAACCAGACCCTGGGAGGAAGAGAGGATGGTTCCCGAGAACTAGGGCTGCTCCTTGGTTTTTAGAGGTATCTACTGCTTCCAAAACCTTTTGAGACCCCATTATCCCGTTTGATGAAGAAGCAGTCTGCCACGTGGGGGTTCCAGATAAGACAGCTGAAATTCGGAAGGGCAGGCGACTCCACCAAGTCACCGAGACGCCCTTTTTGACGCTCCAGGGACCGCAGGATCTGGGAAGACTCCTGGTTACTCCGGCGACCGGTCGGCCGCCACAGGACGTGAGAGCCCGGGCAGAACGCCCAAGAAGCTTCCGTAGTCGGATGGCAGGTCACGTGTCGAGGGCTTGCCCGTGGGGACCCCTCCACCCGGGCTCCCGCGTCACATGACCGGCTTTGAGCAACATGGCGGCTGCCGTGGTGCAGCGCCGGGGCTGAGCGACAGCAAGTGCAGCGGGCTCCTATCCCGGGTGAGGGGTGGCCTCAGCGCGGGATCGTGCCCTCCTCAGCCCGCTCCTGTCCCCAACTTCACGTGTATTCCGCACGTCCCCTCCGCGCTGTGTGTCTACTGAGACGGGGAGGCGTGAAAGGGCCCGGGTCCCTTCTCAGTCGTGCTCTGTGCTTCGGGGCAAGCTCCCCGTCTCCGGGCGCACTTCCCTCGCCTGGGTTCAGTCTATCCTCCTTTCTCCAGCCTCCTCCCCTCGCAGGTGGGATCGTCGGTGGGACCGGAGCGCGGGCGGGCGCGGCCCCCCGGGACCATGGCCGGGTCCGACACCGCGCCCTTCCTCAGCCAGGCGGATGACCCGGACGACGGGCCAGTGCCTGGCAACCCGGGGTTGCCAGGGTCCATGGGGAACCCAAAGTCCGAGGAGCCCGAGGTCCCGGACCAGGAGGGGCTGCAGCGCATCACCGGCCTGTCTCCTGGCCATTCGGCTCTCATAGTGGCGGTGCTGTGCTACATCAATCTCCTGAACTACATGGACCGCTTCACCGTGGCTGGTAGGGACTCACTTCTGGGAGGAAGGTAGTCTAGGAGAGGGGAGCCAGGGTCCCGAGGGTGGCGCTGCTTTGCCGGACCATCCTGAATTTTTTCCTTCTCAGGCGTCCTTCCCGATATCGAGCAGTTCTTCAACATCGGGGACAGTAGCTCTGGGCTTATCCAGACTGGTGAGTGGGGACACCTCCTGGTCACACAGCCGCTCCTCTTTCTGTTCTGTCCCAACTGGGACCACATGCTTTCCTGCCTGGGGGCTCATTAATGGAGGTTTTGTGGCCAGTGAGGGGAGGTGATGGCCCTGATGTCGCTCGGGGGTCAGCTGGGGCACTACATTTAAAGAGGGAGTCAGTTTAGTATAACTAAGTATAACTTCACCCAGGTGAAGACAGACCTGGGTTTAAATCTCAGCTCTTCCACTTCTTGTGTGATGGTAGGCAAGGCTCTCAACCTCTCTAAGCCTCATTTTCCTTGTCTATAAGATGGAACGAGTAATAACACAAATCATCTTTTAGGACTGATGTGAAGATTAACTGAAAGATTGCCTGTGAAGGGCCTAGTGCAGTGTTTGGCAGATAGTAGATACCCAGTAAATAATGGCAGGAGGGTAGGGTGCGGTGACTCACGCCTGTAGTCCCAGCACTTTGGGAGGCCAAGATGAGTGGATCACTTGAAGTTAGGAGTTCAAGACCAGCCTGGCCAACATGACGAAACCCCATCTCTACTAAAAATACAAAAATTAGCCGGGCTTGGTGGCAGGCGCCTGTAATCCCAGCTACTTGGGAGGCTGAGGCATGAGAATTACTTGAACCCAGGAGGCAGAGGTTGCAGTGAGCCTAGATCGCACCACTGCACTCCAGCCTGGGTGACAGAGCGAGACTCCATCTCATAAATAAATAAATAAAGGCAGGAGAGGGTGTCTGGAATGGGGAGAGGTGCGTTTTACTTGTTCACAACTCTGGGGCTTGTGGGAGAGGCAAAGCTAGAGTCAAGCTCTCTTTTTCTTCCTTCCTTCCTTCATTTCTCAACCATTTCTGAGTACTCATTGTGTGCCAGGCCTGGAGGAAGTGATGATTACATCTGTAGGACTTTGCTAAGAACTTTTATGCTCCTTGTCTTCTAATCCTTCCATCAGCCAAAAACAGGTATTATTGTTCCTATTTTATAGAGAAAGTAGGTAGTGATATCTACAGCTTATAAAGAAACTGAGGCTTGGAGAAGAGTTAAGACTTGCCCAGGGTCACACCACCAGTTGGAGGCGGAACAGGAATTTGAAACCAGGTCTTGCAGTGTTCTTTTCTTTACTCCAGGCCAATGAGGAACTGGAGGTATTTGAGGTGAAGTCTGGAGCAATGAGAATGGGATCATAGGGCAAGGTCTTCAAATCTCTGAAGAAGTGTTGAGTTAGAGTAGCAGCTCTTTCTAGGCAGCTGCATTTATTCACTTTTTAATTCAGCACATGCTTATTGAGCACCTATTTTGCACTAGGCTGTGTGTTAAATGAGTGAAAGAAGCACAGTCATGGCCAATACAGGCAAGGACCTTGCCTTGGGAGCTGATGGTATGCTATGCATGAGGGAGCAACAGTCAGTAAAACCCTAAACTAAAGTGGGACAGTTTTCCCATAGGGATAAGTATTATGTAACAGAAAATAGTCCAGGCACTGTGGCTCATGCCTGTAATCCCAGCACTTTGAGAGGCTGAGGCTGGCGGATCATGAGATCAGGAGATTGAGACCATCCTGACCAACATGGTAAAACATCATCTCTACTAAAAATACAAAAATTAGCTGGGCCTGGTGTCATGCCCCTGTAGTCCCAGCTGCTTGGGAGGCTGAGGCAGGAGAATCGCTTGAACCCAGGAGGCAGAGGTTGCAGTGAGCCGAGATCGCGCCACAGCACTCCAGCTTGGCAACAGAGCGAGACTTTGTCTAAAAAAAACAAGAGAAAACAGTAAATGTGAGAGTCGGGACTGGATGTATGCTCACCTGGGCATGCTTGACCCTTGGCCCTGGGCAAGTGTCTGAGCTGGAACCTGAAGGAACTATGCTCTGTGAAGTTTCAGGGGAGAGGAGAGAATGTCCTTGATAGAGGAGACAGCAGGTGCGCAAACCCCTAGTGGTATTGACCTTGACAATTGGGCCATTGGGATGCAGAGAGAGGAAGGGAAAAAGGCTGACCATGAGTTTGGAGAGGTAGGAGGGGCTAGATCGGATGGGGGCATTGTGAGCCATGGTATATATGGAGTTTGGAGCTTGTCTTGGCTAGGTGGGAGGAATTGACAAGTAGTGGGACCATCCATGTACAATGGGAAATTTGGAAAGGTGTTCAGGATGGAGCTGGAGTGTCCGCCTGGCAGGAAGCTCTGATGGGATTCAGGCTGGGATGTGGGGGTGTTGTGAATTCCGTGAGGAGAAGGTGGGCATCTCTTGTGCTTTAGTGGTTCCAGCTGGGGTGGGAGTGGGAGGTAGGGGTACCTGGACTGAGCTGTGACTCTCTCCTTCCCCCTAGTGTTCATCTCCAGTTACATGGTGTTGGCACCTGTGTTTGGCTACCTGGGTGACAGGTACAATCGGAAGTATCTCATGTGCGGGGGCATTGCCTTCTGGTCCCTGGTGACACTGGGGTCATCCTTCATCCCCGGAGAGGTGAGGCCCCGAGCTGGCTCCCGCTTCTGCCCACACCCACTCCCTGTCAGTCTCTGATGCTGCTCCTTGGAGCCATGGCAGACTGGGCCTCAGGGACTCCTGCAGTTTCCCTGGTCCATGCCATTTTATACCCTTCCTTGCCTGAGTTAACCTGCCCCACCCCATCCTCTCCCCTTTTCTTCCAGAGCGTTCTCTGTCCATCATCCCCTCTTCCCTTGACCACTGACTCCTTCTACTCCATACCTAAACACTCCAAACCCTACCTGGCCTGCCCTCTCTCCCTCCTCTCCTTCCTGATCAGACTTCCTGAAGGGCCCCAAGAGCGTGGCGCCAGTGTGGGTGAAAGAGCGGCTGGGGAGATGCCGTCACTCTGCCCGCACTTCCTCACGCCTGCTCACCCCTCGAGCGCTGCCGCTAACTTCTACTCCCACCACTCCATGGACCCTGCTCTTGCCAAAGTCAACAGTGGCCTCCTGGTTGCTAAACACAGCTCCAACTTCCTGGCCCTGTTCGTGCTAGGTCCCCTGGGAGCTTCTGGCGCTGTTGACCCATTCTTCCTTCCTGAAACTCTCCTACCTTTGCGATGCCACACTTTTCTGGTTTTCCTCCTGCCTCCCTGGCTGTTGCTTCTTTGTTCCTTTGAAGTCTCCTCTGCCTGTTCTCACTCCATCCTGGAACTCTGTCCTCAGCCCCAGGACCTACGTATTTTCCTTGGGTGACTGGACCCATCCTTAGCTTCAGGTGTCTTTGGTAGACACATAAACTGCCATCTAAGGTCATTATTCATTTAAAAAAAATTAAAAAACTTTCCCCTACCAGGCAAGCAGGGGTTGTCTTATTTAGATCTTTTATTGTCTAGTCCTTGCAATAACTCTGTGAAAAGTTGTTGTTATCCTCCTTTTGCAGATGAGGAAGCTGAGGCTCAGAGAGGTTAAGTTATTTTCCCCAAATCGCAGCTAGTAAGTGGTGGAGCCAGGATGCAAGCCCAGGTCTGTGTGATTCTAAAACCCAGGCGTCTCCCGCCATCCCTGCTGCCTCTCGGGAGCGGGCTGGTGAGGTAGCCCGGAGGCTGGCTGCAGGCTGGGGTGCCACCTCTCCCCGGTCTTTCTCCCCAGCATTTCTGGCTGCTCCTCCTGACCCGGGGCCTGGTGGGGGTCGGGGAGGCCAGTTATTCCACCATTGCGCCCACTCTCATTGCCGACCTCTTTGTGGCCGACCAGCGGAGCCGGATGCTCAGCATCTTCTACTTTGCCATTCCGGTGGGCAGGTGAGCAGGCCTGGGGCCTGGGGGAAGGCAGAAGGGCCTGGCGTGGAGGACTGGACTGACTGGCTGTCCCCACTTTTTCCCTTCTCTCCCTCCCATAGTGGTCTGGGCTACATTGCAGGCTCCAAAGTGAAGGATATGGCTGGGGACTGGCACTGGGCTCTGAGGGTGAGTCTGGTCTTGGCCTGGGGGTAGGTCAGTGACATTCTCACTGATCCCTGTTTCCTACCTTCAAACCCCTTCCCACTGCCCATTTTTCTTTTAAGAGACAGGGTCTTGTGTCATCCAGGCTGCAGTGCAGTGGTGCAGTCATAGCTCACTGCAGCCTGGAATTCCTGAGCTCAAGTGATCCTCCCACTTCAGCCTCCCAAGTAGCTGGGACTATAGGTGCCCGCCACCATGCCTGGCTAATTAAAAAAACTTTTTCTTTTTGTAGGCTGGGTGTGGTGGCTAACACCTGTATCCCAGCACTTTCGGAGGCTGAGGCAGGTGGATTACTTGAGGTCAGGAATTCAAGATCAGCCTAGCCAACACGGTGAAACCCTGTCTCTACTAAAAATACAAAAATTAGCTGGGTGTGGTAGTGCATGCCTGTAATCCCAGCTACTCGGGGGGCTGAGGCAGGAGAATCACTTGAACCCAGGAGGCGGAGGTTGCAGCGAGCTGAGATTGCGCCACTGCACTCCAGCCTGGGCGACAGCGTGAGACTCCGTCTCAAAAAAAACAAAATTTTGCCAGGTGTGGTGGCTTGTGCCTGTAATCCCAGCACTTTGGGAGGCTGAGGTGGGTGGATCCCCTGAGGTCAGGAGTTTGAGGCCAGCTTGACCAACATGGCGAAACCCTGTCTCTACTAAAAATGCATAATTAGCTGGGCATGGTGACGCATGCCTGGAATCCCAGCTACTCGGGAGGCTGAGGCAGGAGAATCACTTGAACCTGGGAGGCAGAGGTTATAGTGAGCAGAGATCATGTCATTACACACACACACACACACACACACACACACACACACACACTTTTTTGTTGTTGTAGAGATGGAGTCTTTGTATGTTGCCCAGTTCAAGGTTGGTCTTGAACTCCTGGCCTCAAGCAATCCTCTTGCTTCAGCCTCCTAAAGTGCTGGGCTTACGGGTGTGAGCCATGCGCCTGGCTCCAAACACCCCTTTTTTGAGGCAGCACTCATTCTGCTGAGCCTGCAGGAGGCTGGCTGCCCTTACCTGGAAGCCATGTGCTAGACAGAATTCTTGCGTGCGGGTGACGGAAGCCCATTGTAAAACTGTAAGCCCCCTAAAGGGGCTGTCTTGACTTTCTTCCTGAAAGTCCCAGGTGAGCTTCAGTCAGGTAAAGCTGGATCTAGGGCTCCTACACTGCCGTTCTCTTCTGAGCTTTACTTTCCTCTGTGTTAACATCATTCTTAAGGACGTGAGAGCTCCAGATGGTTATCTTTCCATTTAGCAACATTGGCATCTTGGACCCTGGGGCCGTGTTTCCAGGATAGTGTCTGACTAGATGAACATGTGTCACATACCTCTGCAGAATCTGTCACCGAGGCTGGGGTGGTTAACATTCTTCTTGTTGGCCAAGCCTGGGAACCTATTTAAACCAAGTGGATTGAGAGAAGTAGGGGTACTGGTTTCCCACAAGAAAATTACCAAAAAGGAAGCAAAGCTAGGCTTGCAAAAATAGGGTGGACCCTAGTGGCAGCCCCCTTCCCCCAAATTGCAGGTTTGGCTTCTTAGAGCAGGCACTTAACTGGGTATTTTAGGTCTCAGGCTGGAGTTATTGCACCCCACACTCCCCCCCAGCCCAGGGCTTAAGTGTGTCTCTGCCTGTGCCTATCCTGAAGCCCTCTGTCTCCCAGGTGACACCGGGTCTAGGAGTGGTGGCCGTTCTGCTGCTGTTCCTGGTAGTGCGGGAGCCGCCAAGGGGAGCTGTGGAGCGCCACTCAGATTCGCCACCCCTGAACCCCACCTCGTGGTGGGCAGATCTGAGGGCTCTGGCAAGAAAGTGAGTTTATCCCCACCCTAGACCACCATCTGAGGCCCCCCTGGCGTCTGGTTTGAAGTTTAAGTGGGGATGTTCCTGTTCCTGGCCACACCCCAAGGCCAGGAATTCGGTCGTTACTGCCCCCTTGTGGCAGCTGCTTGAATTACAGGCCCAGATCCTGGGAGCCAGAACCGCCTCTGCACATGGTGTTGTGACCTTACTAAAATAAGCCAGGAAGGGAGAAGAGAGGTCCCCTCCGCCCTGGACACCTCCATGGGGTCTTACTCTCTCCCTCCCAACTATCTGCAGTCCTAGTTTCGTCCTGTCTTCCCTGGGCTTCACTGCTGTGGCCTTTGTCACGGGCTCCCTGGCTCTGTGGGCTCCGGCATTCCTGCTGCGTTCCCGCGTGGTCCTTGGGGAGACCCCACCCTGCCTTCCCGGAGACTCCTGCTCTTCCTCTGACAGGTGCCCAGATGGGGCTATGCAGGGGGGCCTGTGGGTGGCAGGGCTGGAGTGAAGAGCATCTGTGGCTCAGACCCAGGCAGGGAGTTTGACTCCTGACTTCACAAGCTGCCTGCTCTCCTGGAATCTCCTATTTCCTGGTCTGGGAAATAAGTGATGGGATGATGTCTGCCACTTAGGGCTATGCGAACCATGTGTCTGTAGGGACCTTGGTTGTGAGGGTGGCTAGGATGGACAGCATAGGGGGCTTGGCAGGCAGAGAGACAAACCCCCATTCCCTTCCCTCACCCTCAGCCTCATCTTTGGGCTCATCACCTGCCTCACCGGAGTCCTGGGCGTGGGCCTGGGCGTGGAGATCAGCCGCCGGCTCCGCCACTCCAATCCTCGGGCTGATCCCCTGGTCTGTGCCGCTGGCCTCCTGGGCTCTGCACCCTTCCTCTTCCTGTCCCTTGCCTGCGCCCGTGGTAGCATTGTGGCCACTTATGTGAGTAGCCAGCAGGTGTCAAGGGGAATGGCGTGGGTCCAGGGTGGAGGAGCAGTCAGTGTAATGGCCACTGGAATGCCTGGTTTTGAATCACAGCTTTGTCGCTTCCCAGCTGTGTGACATTGGACAAGTAACTTAACCTCTCTGTGCTCAGTTTCGTCATGTGTAAAATGGGAATATCAGTAGCACCTGTCTCACTGGGGTGTTGTGAGGATTAAATTAGTTAATAGATGAGCTGGGAACATGGTCAACTTTCCATGTGTTTGCCCTTACTGCCATGAACCCCCCACCCTCTCTCCACAGATTTTCATCTTCATTGGAGAGACCCTCCTGTCCATGAACTGGGCCATCGTGGCCGACATTCTGCTGGTGAGTCACTGGGCAGCTCCAGTGTCAGCCCAGAGGCTGATGAGAGCAGGGTTGGGGTCAGGAGTGTTGCCTTTACCCCTCAAAGCCCAGCCTCAACCTACCTTCTACAAAAAATAACATCTGTGGCAGACCCCTGGCCTGCCCTGTGACCTCAACCCCAGGCACACCTCTGACCCCGGCCTAGGCGGACCCTTGGTGGTCTCCTGCCCCCTGGAGCCCAGAGCACCCACTGAGCTCCACCAACTCCTCCATAGTACGTGGTGATCCCTACGCGACGCTCCACTGCCGAGGCCTTCCAGATCGTGCTGTCCCACCTGCTGGGCGACGCTGGGAGCCCCTACCTCATTGGCCTGGTGAGCATTGTTTCTTGGCTGGCACAGGGTAGGGGAACTTACATTTCCAGACCTGGCTGGTGGCCTGAGCCTGGACTGGATCAGACAGCCTGGCCCTAGTGAAGTGTCTGTGTCCTGTGTGCTGGGCACTTCTCACCTTCCATTGTCAACTGGAGGAGAAAGATTTTGTCTTTGAATATTTCTACCAGTAAGGCCAGGGACCTCACCCTGGTGGTCCAGACTCCCCCTTTCTTTTTTCTTTTTTTCCTGAGACAAGACCTCACTCTGTTGCCCAGGCTGCAGTGTAGTGGCACGATCACGGCTCACTGCAGCCTTGACCTCCTGGGCTCAAGCGATCCTCCTACCTTAGCCTCCCGAGTAGCTGGGATGATAGGCATGAGCCACTGCGTCTGGCTCAAACCTCCTTCCCTTTCCTGGGCTCCACTTGTCTTTCTCCCTGGAGCTCAGGGGCATGCCCTCCCTGGCTCATCTGTGAGGCTGACTTCCCAGGCTTTCCTGTCTCCTCTCCCTGCAGATCTCTGACCGCCTGCGCCGGAATTGGCCACCCTCCTTCTTGTCCGAGTTCCGGGCTCTGCAGTTCTCGCTCATGCTCTGCGCGTTTGTCGGGGCACTGGGTGGCGCAGCCTTCCTGGGCACCGCCATCTTCATTGAGGGCGACCGCCGGCGGGCGCAGCTGCACGTGCAGGGTCAGTTAGGAGCTGTGCCTGGGCCAGCTTCTTGATCTGCCTGTCTGTCCGTCCATCTGTCTGCCCACTCCTGTGCACCCGGCAGCTAAGTCCACAGCTCTTGCCTTGTTTGGCCTCCAGTCTGCATCCACCCCTCGGGTGGCTCTGTGACTGCCCCATCCATTTCCCGCTGCCTGTTTGCCCTTCTCTGGCTTTGTCTGTCTGTCCGTCCAGCTCACCCTGGCTCTGACCCTCCCCCTGCAGGCCTGCTGCATGAAGCAGGGCCCACAGACGACCAGATTGTGGTGCCCCAGCGGGGCCGCTCCACCCGCGTGCCCGTGGCCAGCGTGCTCATCTGAGAGGCCGCCGCTCACCTGCCTGCACATCTGCCACAGCTGGCCCTGGGCCCACCCCACGAAGGGCCTGAGCCTAACCTCTTGGCCTGGCCCAGCTTCCAGTGGGACCCTGGGCCATGTCCCAGCTCCCAGACACTACATGGGCAGCTCAGGGGAGAAGGTGGGGGTCCAGGAGGGGGATCCCCCTCCACAGGGGCAGCCCCAGGGGCTCGGTGCTATTTGTAACGGAATAAAATTTGTAGCCAGACCCCAGGTGCCTGCTCTCGTCTTTCTCTGGGTGGCCTCTGATCTTGTACCCCGTCTTCATCCCGAAGATTGTGGGTCATTCCTTGGGACTCTGGGTGAGTCTCTGCCCTTCTAGGCTGAGTGACTGAGATGGGGGACTGCTCTCCTCCCAGTGAGCTGGCTCAGTGTGACTGTGAGTCACGCCCCTGCTTCTCTGGAGCCTGTCTCTTGCCCCGCAGGCCTGGCTGAGGTGGGGGTGGGCACTGCCCTTTGTACCCCAGAATTCCCGCTGTCAGGGCCTCCCTGCTTGCTGCCTCCCCGGGTCCTGGATGTGAAGGCCACGACTGCCAGCTGGCAGGTGGCTGTCCCCATCCGGGGGGGCCAGCAGACCCTTGGTGAGTGCCTGGGGTGGCTCCGGGCCTCCTCCTGCCCCCTCCCCACTGGTGGGGTGGGGTAGGAAGGGGGCGGGTGCAGCCGGCTGAGAGCTTGATGATTTCCTGCCCTCGCCCGGCGCTCACCACAGCTTCCTGCCGCAGGCGGGTGGGAGGGCGGGCACAGGGAGAGGCGGGTGCCGAGGAGGGGCAGGTAGGGCTGGGACGCAGGGGTGGCTGGATCCCCCGACTTCAGCGCAGGCCCTGGTCTGACCACCCTGGGAGCAGGGACTTTCCACAGCCAGCTGGACGCCCACTCAACCCAGTAAAAGAGGGGACCCATCCTGGGAGCCCCGGGGAGGGCACAGCCGCCTCCTCCTGGGCTCCCCCATCACCTGGTGCCTACCTTCCCCCTGCCCCCTGCTGGGCCTGGTCCTCACCCGGTCCTCACCCCATCTTTGTCTGGCCTTGGCTCTGCCCTTGAGGGGCCTGGGGTGCAGCCGGCCTGCTCCGAGCTCCCCTGCAGATGGAGGAGGCCATCCTTGTCCCCTGCGTGCTGGGGCTCCTGCTGCTGCCCATCCTGGCCGTGTTGATGGCACTGTGTGTGCACTGCCACAGATTGCCAGGTGAGTGGGAAACTGGTGGGGGTACCTGCGGCCCAGGCACACCGACGGGATCCTCATTCCACTCCCAGCCACTGTGTCTGTCCTGGCTCTGTCCCTGCCTCCGTCCTGATCCCAGCACGTCTGAGAGTCCCCGGACCCCAGCACCTTCTGCCCTAAGCACCCCCTGTTCCTGCCTCACCAGCCCTGTCTTTCCCAGGCTCCTATGACAGCGCATCCTCAGATAGGTGAGTCCGCCCTGGCCGCCCTGGGTCTCCCTCCACATCCCATGGCGGGGCAGGGCTGGGGCTTCTCCCAGCCCCATCCCCAAGCTGTGTCTCCTTTACCAGTTTGTATCCAAGGGGCATCCAGATCAAACGGCCTCGTGAGTACAAGGAGGATCCCCTGCCTCAGGTTCCAGGGAGAGGGTCCCCTGGTGTGGAAGTGAGCGTGAACCTTCAGCCTTCCCCCACCGCCCTGGGGCTGCCCACATGGCCTTGACCTGAGCTGGGAGGAGGGGAGATGGCTCCCCCAGGCCTGTCCAGGGTGTGGGGGTTTCAGGGGCGTAGTCTGTTCTTTGAGGCCTTGACGATGTCTGGAGTCCTTCTTTCAACTTGGTTCTGTGTCCTCAGACACAGTCGCCCCCTGGCCACCTGCCTACCCGCCTGTCACCTCCTACCCACCCCTGAACCAGCCAGACCTGCTCCCCATCCCGTGAGTAGCTGCTCAGCCCTTATCCCTCCAAACTCTACTCTCCACCCCCTCACTTTTTTGGATTGGGGGCCCCTTTCCCTTTTGCAACTGCTGTGGCCCCCTGAGTCCCACCTCAGGCATGACCCCTCACCTTTGACTCCCAGAAGATCCCCGCAGCCCCTTGGGGGCTCCCACCGGACGCCATCTTCCAGGCGGGATTCCGATGGTGGTAAGTATGGGGAAGCACTCAGGAGGCCGGGGCTGGGCAGAAGATAGGCCTGGCCTAAGCTGACTCAGTCTCCCTCTCGCCCTCTTTTTGAAGCCAACAGTGTGGCGAGCTACGAGAACGAGGGTGCGTCTGGGATCCGAGGTGCCTGGGTTGGGTAGGGAGGCTGGGGCCCATCCTGGGCTAGGCTGACCCCTGTGTCGTTACCCCCAGAACCAGCCTGTGAGGATGCGGATGAGGATGAGGATGAGGACGACTATCACAATCCGGGCTACCTGTGAGTGGCCAAGTGGGAGGTGGGAGGTTAGGGCTAGCGGCCTCGCTTACCGGCCCTTTTCACTTATTTTCAGGGTGGTGCTTCCCGACAGCACTCCGGCCGCTAGCACTGCCGCCCCATCAGCTACTGCACTCAGCACCCCTGGCCTCCGAGACAGTGCCTTCTCCAGTGAGTCAGGCATTTGTTTTTATTATTTAATTTTTTTAGGGATAGGCTGGAGTGCAGCGGTGCCATTGTAGCTCACTGCAGCCTTGAACTCCTAGGCTCCAGTGATCCTCCCAAGTCAGCTACTCAGCCTCAGCCTCCCAAGTAGCTGAGATTACAGGCGCCTGCCACCACATCTAGCTTATTTAAAACATTTTTTTGTAGAGACAGGGTCTCGCTATGTTGCCCAGGCTGGCCTTAAACTCCTGGGCTCAAGTGATCCTCCCACCTTGGCCTCCCAAAGTGCTGGGATTACAGGTGTGAGCCACCATGCCCGGGCCTGTTCTGATTTTCTTAATTTTCTCTCCTTTTCTATCTCTGTATCCTTTCCTTTTATCATCTGGGAAATTTCCTTGACTTTATTCTTCAACCCTTCCACTGCAATTTTATTTCTGCTATCCAGAAGCTCTTTCTTGTTCTCTGACTGTTCTTTTTTTATAGCCTCTGTTCTTGTTTCACGGAGGCAATACCATCTTGTACATCTCTAAGGATATTAATTAGAGGCTGTCTTATGTGTCTGTGTGTGTTTGTCAGTTTTTTTCTGCTTCCTGCACTGCCCTGTTTCCTTTGAGCTGCTTTTCACCCTTCCTTATGGTCTCATCCTGCCTGTTCACATCCTCTGGGCTTTCCCCAATATCTGACATTCTTTAGATTTCTGTTGCTTTGTTCTCTCTGTGTATACTTGTCCTGGGCTATCACTTCTACACCCTGGCTTTGTTTGCCATCCAAATTCCCAGTTTGCTCTCTCCTGAGCTCCCGACTGTCTATCCAAGTACTTCTTTTCATTCATTCATTCATTCATTCATTCATTCATTCATTCATTCAGCGTTTACTGCGTGCCTCTGCTGGGCTACTGCTATGGATATAACAGTTAAGGAGACAGACTGTCCTGATAAAATAGCTGGCTGGGGCCGGGCGCGGTGGCTCAAGCCTGTAATCCCAGCACTTTGGGAGGCCGAGACGGGTGGATCACAACGTCAGGAGATCGAGACCATCCTGCCTAACACGGTGAAACCCCGTCTCTACTAAAAAATACAAAAAACTAGCCGGGCGAGGTGGTGGGTGCCTGTAGTCCCAGCTACTCGGGAAGCTGAGGCAGGAGAATGGCTTGAACCCGGGAGGCAGAGCTTGCAGTGAGCTGAGATCCGGCCACTGCACTCCAGCCTGGGCGACAGAGCAAGACTCCGTCTCAAAAAAAAAAAAAAAAAAAAAAAAATAGCTGACTGGGCATGGTGGCTTACTCCTGTAATCCCAGCACTTTGGGAGGCCGAGGCGGGAGGATTGCTTGAGTCCAGGAGTTCAAGACCAGCCTGAGCAACATGGTTAAACCTCATCTTTACAAAACATAAAAAAAAATTAACCAAGCGTGGTGGCACATGCCTGTAGTCCCAGCTGCTCAGGAGACTGAGATGGGCAGATCACCTGAGCCCGGGAAGCGGAAGTTGCAGTGAGCCGAGATCATGCCACTGTGCTCCAGCCTGGGTAACAGAGTGTTTTAAAAAAAAAAAAAAAAGATAAAATAGCTAAGATTCACCGAGGGCCTCCTGCATGCCTTGCTGAGTCTGACATATGTTCACTCACTAACCTCACCGCCCTGGAGCTCCCGGGCCTGCCCTCGCCCTCCTGTGCTCCAATTGTCCCCCTTTGTGTGATGCAGGGTTTATCTGTTTAACAGCACTGTTATGTCACAGGTCCTATTTTACAGAGGAGAAAACTAGGGCACAGAGAGGTAAGGTCCCTTGGCTGAGGTTATGTGGTTGGTTAGTACTGGAGCTGGGATTGAACCGGGGCGGTCTTCAAAAACAAACATGAAACACATAAGAGAACCAAATAGGCTGGGCATGGTGGCTCACGCCTGTAATCCCAGCACTTTGGGAGGTGGGTGGATCACCTGAGGTCAGGAGTTCAAGACCGACCTGGCCAACATGGTGAAACCCCGTCTCTACTAAAAATACCAAAATTAGCAGGGCGTGGTGGCGGGCGCCTGTAATCCCAGCTACTCAGGAGGCTGAGGCAGGAGAATTGCTTGAACCGGGAGGCAGAGGTTGCAGTGAGCCAAGATCACACCACTGCCCTCCAGCCCTCTGGGCAACAGAGGGAGACTCCATCTCAAAAACAAATAAATAAATAAAATAAAAGAACCAAATAACCAGGCATGGTAGCTGATACCTGTGATCCCAGGACTTTGGGAGGCTGAGGCGGGTGGGTCACTTGAACCCAGGAGTTCAAGACCAGCCTGGGCAGCATAAGGAGACCCTGTCTCTACAAAAAATCCAAAATTTAGCCTGGCCTGGTAGGAGCTGAGGTGGGAAGATCATCTGAGTCTGGGAGGTCAAGGCTGCAGTGAGCCGAGATTGCGCCACTGCATTCCAGCCTGGGCAACAGAGCGAGACCGTGTCTCAAGAAAAACAAAAACAAACAAAACCCCCAAATAACATGGATGGTGACAGGCGCCATGAGGGGCTGATATGGGAGTGGGACACAGGCAGTGGCTGGCAGGGGGCGGGCGGGGATGGGGGTCAGGGAGGAAGAGGTTCCTGCTGGGCCAAGTGTGTCATGTCCCCTCCACACATGCCACCAAACTCCTACTGCTCCGAGCCATACTCCGTCCCTGTTCCCCAGCCTAGGGGCTGTGCTGGGGCCTGACCCTTCGTGAACCCTCCTCAGTCCCGGTCAAGTGGACCTCCTCCCCCGCTCTCCACAGCCCTTGCCTTGTCTAGGCCACCATCACCATCACCAACACCATCCTTGCCAGCCTGGAGTGCCCGCTCTCCATTCTGTGG